ACCTGCCTCCTCCTGGCCCCGGGGTCCTTTGTATCTTGTCACCAAGGCCCGTGTCCAGGGGGGAGGATGAGCCTTCCTGCATGAACAGAAATCCCTGGGCCTCAAGCAGAGGCGAGAAATATACACCGGATTGAAAAGAAACTGCTAACTGCGTGTTAAAATTGTAATATTTTGCGTATATGGGGTTAAATAAAAGGATTAAAATAGTATATTTGAATCTTCCAAGATATTTTATGGCCATAAACAAGACTTTGTTGCTGCTGTTATTGTTTGGTTTTTTTTTGAGACAGGGTCTCACTATGCAGTTCAGGCTGGTCTTGAACTCACTGTGTAGCCCAGGCTGGCCTCGAACTCACCATGATCATCCTGCTTCAGCCTCCCGCGTGCTGGGATTATAGGCGTGCGCCGCCACCCCAGCGTGGCTGTTTTTGGACATTCAGTAGTGCTAAGGTAGTCAGAACCCACAGACATACAACGAACCTTTCGGCACTGGATGTCAAACTGTGCGGGGCAGCCGGGCTTTCCACTACCTCACGGGCTCCACCCCAGCGCGTAAAGATGCGGAGCTTTTACCTGCAGTGCTGATGATCAAAGCCAGGGCCTCGTGTTGGGCAAGTGTAACACCCAGCTCCGTTGCCAGCCGAGCTGCACCCCTTCTGTAGTGATGAACCCCGTCCGGGCGATGGACTGAGACTAGGACTCGTCTCAGGAACGCAGAAGAGGCAGGGTGAGGAGCCAAAAGCACCGTCCGGAGGGCTCACCCTGGCCAGCCTGGGTCCCGAGCCTTCCTTGTGCTTTTCTAATGTTTTACGGCTTTTTTTTTTATGTCCTGTGCCGGGGATGCGTTTTGAGTTCATTTTTATGAGCCCTGAGGTCCCAGCTCATTCTGCGGTCCGTGGGTGCCCGGCCGCTCCAGCCCCGTGTGTTGAAACATCTCTGCCTCCTCCGTTGCGTTGTGTCTGGCTTTGTCACAGTGAGCTGGGCGCTCGGGCGGGGCGCCCCTGGGTCCCGTTCTCTTCCCTCCTGCGGTGCCGAAGCCTGCCTTCCTGGAGTGTCCTAGTTGAGCTGGAAACCGGGAGACCAATTCAGAGTAGCTTCTCGCGCCTGTCAGCCGGGACCTGACAGGATCCAGCCTCGGGAACCCGGGCCTGAGCTCGGCCCTTCCTCCCTGTCACAGTCTGGCCAGGTGGAGGGCCTCAGCCTGACTGACCATCGTGATGCATTTGCTGTCCTGGTCCCTCACTGGGGTCTCTGTCGCCGCAGTTGTGTTTAGTCCCTGTTTTTGTAGTTGGTCACGTGAGCTGTGGAGAGATTTGGGGCGGAGCAGTAGTGGAGCCCGGGCTCCTGCTCGCCGTCACTGAGGGCGCTGTCCCGGGCGTACTCAGCCGAGCCAGGTGCTCCCAGCCGTCCTATTTCCAGAAACCTCAGGCAGTGATCACACCGCTGCTTCCCGGTCTGGGAGACCCCTGGTGGGACCGTGGTTCACACGGCGACGCTCACGTCTTTCATCCTTGCCTTTCCTTCTGCCCGAAATGCTGCTTCCTGGGGTTCCTGTGTGGAGACTTCTCGCGGGCTGCAGGAGTCTGGACTTTGACTTCTACAGAGAATGTGGGAAGCATCCAGGGACATGGTTCGCCGGGAGAGCAGGGACTGAGCACACCCCGCCTCGCTCCTCCCTGCGAGGGTGGCTGACCTCTGTCCCTCTCAGAGAACCGTTGCAGCGGCCAGCTTGGAGGCTGTCACACTCAGTCTATCCAGGGAGTGTAGTAAGAGCTACAACGCCGGGTCGGTTTCCTGCCCTCTCGGTCCGGCCCGGATAGCTTTTCCAAAGCCCCCTCAGCACAGTCCCGCCCCTTGTGGCCCTGTGTGGAGGAGACATGTCCACAGGGCTCGTGGAGAGTGTGGCTGACAGACCCAGGGCGGGGATGGCGCTGTCCCCCGGAGAGGTGGCCAGGCCAGGCCCCGTGATTTGTCCAGGCGTCCATGACAAGTGTGAGCGGAACAGACTCCCTTCCCCTGCCCGCACTGTGCAGTTTTTGGGGGGACCCCCTTCTGCTGCGGTCTGACTGTGGCTTTGGGGTGGCCTCGCGCAGCCCTGTGTTGCCACCGCAGACCCTCCTGACCAGGGCCGAGGGAGCGGGGTTGACAGTCATGAAGCACCTGCAGACCTCCTTCGCTAGGAAGATTGCCAGCAGTTCACCCCAGAGGGGCCGGCAGGAAGGGGCATGCAGGAAGGCTGTGGGGTGGGGATTGTTACTTGGTGGCACGAACTGTGCGTCTCACCTTTTGTTTCTCCTCAAACTGTGAGGTGGGTGCTTTTATTTCCGTCTTTTATCAGGTTAATTACCCTTAGTTATTGTGGGCTGATCAGACCCGCAATCTCCCAAACTAGTGGATGGCGAAGTCTTAAATAAATGAGACAGTTGAAATGATTTTAGGGCTCCAGAAAGGTCTAACTCTCTTACAGAATGCAAGATTCTCTGGGCGAAGACAAAGAGCTTCCCCGGGCAGCCCATATTTATTAGGTTTTCAAACAAAGGAGGGGAATACTGAACAAAACGCAGGAATCTGGGCAGGACTTGGGAATCCCTTTACTTTATGTGAATTTAGGAGAACTATGTTATCTCCAGAAGGGCTTTTACCACAGGAGTGAGATGCCTGCAGTTATAGTCTCCTTAGTTAATCCGGCTTGGAGCCAAATGTCCTCAGCTGTGGCCCTGTCTTGTCGTTTGAGGCCTCATGGCTTTCTTTACCCAGCAGTGCAGGCCTCAGTAGGGACCAGTGACTCACAGGTAAATATGGAAAGCCAGTTGGTTAATATTAAATCCAGCTCAGAGCCACTTTGTAGTGGTCTCCATCCATCTTTCAGTTTAGTAATCTGAATTCCAGAATGGACCCTGGCTGTATTGCTCAAAAAATACGTATGTTGATGGGTGGGGTTGGGGGGTATCAGGCTGTGCACGGCTGTCTGGGGTGGACAGGTTCTTGGGGTGACCTTCAAGGGCAGATAGGAGATAGATACGAGCAGATGTGACAGGGGCTTATGTGAGGGTAGGAGAGCCCCCCCCCCATGTCATGCTTGCTTATTCCTCAGGAATGAGCGTTTTTGGAGTGTGGGAGCCGCAAGAAGCACAGGTTGCCTTGGACGTAGATGCCCCTGGGAATTCCTGGGCCAGGGAGGGCTGAGTATAAAAACCGGCTCTTTAAAAATGGTCTCCAAGATTTAGCTACTGCAAATTGTGCTGCTGTAAACATGGGTGCACGTATATGATGTTTCCAGTTCTTCTGGGAAAATACTCAGACGGGGAATACCTGGGTCGAATGGACCTCTAGTCCTAGTTTTTTGAGGACTCTCCACACTGATTTCCACAGTGGTTGCACCAGTCTACACTCCCACCAGCAGTGGAGAAGCGTTCGTTTTTCCCCACCGCCCTGCCAGCATCTGCTACTGGTTGATTTCTTGATGACAGTCATTCTTTCTGGAGTGAGACGGAATCTCAGTGTTGTTTTAATTTGCATCTCTCTAATAACCAGTGATGTTGAACATTTTTTCATATATTTATTTGCCATTTGTATTTCTTCATCTGAGAAGTGTGTGTTCATCTCAGATGCCCATTTTTGGACTGGGTTTTTAAATTTGAGGAGTCTGATTTTTTTCAATTCTTTATATGTTCTACATATAAGTCCTTTGTCTGAAGGACAGCTGGCTATAAGTTTTTCCCACTCTGTGGATTGTCTTTTCACTCTGTTGCTGAAGAATGGAAAAAAAAAATGTGACTGAGATAGATATATATATATATATGTACTGCTCTGCCATACAGAAGGGTAAACTGGAGACTTTCATATGTAAGTGGATGCAACTGAAGACCATACTCATGAGTGAAATAATCAGACCTGTATGTGTAAACATTGAATCGTCTCACTAGTATGAGAAACTGAATGAGTAAATAAGATCCAAAATGTACAGTAGATACTGTGAATTGGGAAGAAACTGTTTAAAAGAAAAGACAACTGTGATGGGAGAAGGGGAAAGGAAGAAAGAGAAAAAGGAAAAGATATACACAGATAGTTATGAAGATAACAGTGATAGGGGGCTGGGGATTTAGCTCAGCGGCACAGCACCTGCCTGGCAAGCGCGAAGTCGTGAGTTCGATTCCCAGTACCGGAAAACAAACAAACAAAAAAAAGATGATGCTATGAAGGTAACAATACACAATGTATTAATTATTGTAGCTCTCCTACTAACCTGTTTTGAAACTCTGTTTTATTGTTACTTTTATTTTTTTTCTCTTTAAAAAAATGGTGGGTGGGTTTATAGCTCAGCAGCGCAAGCACCTGCCTAACAAGCGCAAGGCTATGTAAGCCAGGGTGTGGTGGCGCACGCCTGTAATCCCAGCACTTGAGAGGCCTTGGCAGGAGAATCAGGAGGATCGCTGTCAGTTCAAGCCCAGCCAGAACTGCTGTGTATGGGGTCTAGTTTTTTTCAAATGGAAATTGATGGTAGTATAAAGAAAAAGGGAGGCCAGGGACATAGCTCAGCAGCACAGTGCCTGTCTGGCAAGCACAAGGTCTTGAGTTCAATTCCCAGGACCCCCCCACACCCAAAGAAAGACACACAGTGTGAAAAAATGAGTCTGAGTTCTGAAAGACTTCTAGCCATGAGGCTACTCGAATCCGCTGCTCTTATTTAAAAGCAGTGTCATTTTAGGTGAGAAAACATTTCAGGTGACCTCTAATTGGGAAGCCCCACTGTTCATTCCCGTGAAGGTACAGAGTATACCCCTGCACTGGCCAGAAGAGGCCTTGGTGGAGAGTGTCTTTAAAAATGGAGTTCATAGCTGGGCGTGGTGGTGCAGGCCTGAATTCCCAGCACTCTGGGAGGCTGAGGCAAAAGGATTGTAGGAGGTTTAGAGGCCAACCTGAGCTATGTGGACAGATGCTGTCACCACCACCAGAAAAAAAAAATTGCCATGGTGCAAGCTCACCGCTGATTGGCTCTCTTGTGTCCGACAGGTGTCAGAGATGGCCGAAGATGGCAGCGAGGAGATCATGTTCATCTGTACGTGGCCCCGCCCACTGGCGCCTCTTGCTGGTGTAGAATGCAGATGGGCCCCACACTTGCTGTCTGGGCAAAGCCACGACTGCATTTTGTCCATAACCCGGAAAGCTTTAGGATGCACGCGGCTTCCCTTGCCTTAGGAGCTGAGCGCCACGGGGTGTGGTCTGAACAGAGGGCCTCTCCCGTGCTCCCGGAGGAGGGCACATCTAGAGGGGGCCCTTGGTTCACAAAACTCCCCCGAGGGTTAGAAACTGGGGGGACTCGTGTTAGAATAAGCAGGTTCAGGGTACTCAGGGGAGGGCTGACGATTCTGTCCTTCGGGGACACTGGTCGTCACCACCTTGAAGGTAACCGTGGGTGTGGACAGTGCCATGGACCGGAGTCTGCAGGAGCGGACCAGGGGGCTTTCGTGACACAGGCCTCTGTCTGCTGGGTGTGCCCTCCGCTGTGTGGGTCTCACGCCTTTGGGTCATTTCTACCTGGCAGAGCCTGGTTCCCTGAGCACGTTCTCTGGGTGTTCCCTCCCTGGACCCACTCCCTGTGACGCCAACATCTGCTTGCAGGGTGTGAAGACTGCAGCCAGTACCACGACTCTGAGTGTCCCGAGCTGGGCCCCGTGGTCATGGTCAAGGACTCCTTCGTGCTAAGCAGGGCGAGGTGAGTGACCCTCCCAGGGTTTTCTGCAGACAGCAGCGAGGCACCAGGCTGCGAGGGGTGTGCGTGGTTTCCGCCCTCGGGGAGCTGGGGTCTCGCTGTCCGGTGGGCTGTGGCGAGGGCAGAATGTCGGGGTGCACTTCCTCCGGGAGCTCAGGGTCCCGGAAGCTGGGCTGGCCCTGGACCGGGCTGCGTGGGTTTACACACTGAGCTTGGTAGCCAAGCTCCCGGGGCTTCCTGTGTTCCAACCCAGGCCTGCACGGCGGCCAGGTGGGCCGGGCGGGAACGCTGAGCCATTGCAGATTTCGGGGAAGATGTCTGTGGTGGGGCCCTGGAGTCCAGGACGAGGGCACCAAGTCCAGCCAGGGCCGCCATGGGGTGGCTGTGGGCCTCAGCGGGCTCTGTGATGTGGAGAGGTCATGCTGTCCCTCCAGGTGTGCTGTCACCCTGCTGGTGCTACAGTGACCTCTCAGGCTGCGGGGCCCCACCCTGTTTGTTTATTCTGGCTCAGGGGGGCTCATTCTCTGTGAAACAAAGACAGTGATATTTTTGCCTAAAGCAGAGAGCTCAGCTCCCTCCTCCTGCAGACCTCGGGGGCTCCTGCTGCCTGAGAAGCCATTGAGACCATCACTCCCACAGCTGGGCCTGCTGACAGGCTCTTCCCTCTCAGGGCCTGTGCCCTGTACCTTGTGTCCCCTCACTTCTGGACATGTCTCCGCCTGGCCCCTGCCTCACTCCGGGCCCTCTTCCTTCCTGTAGCATCTTGCCGGTGATCTGATCTAGATAACAAGGCCACATTCCCAGGGAGACAGGCCTGCCTCAGCCTTCCCTGTCAGCTCCATCCTGTTCCCCACCCCTTGAGATGCTGCACCCCCAAGTTGTCTTCCATAGAACCCAAACCCGGAATTCATAGGATTTAGCAAATCACTGCTCTGGCGCGGACACTGGCCCGTCTTGCCTGTCCTGGTGAGGCTCGGTGGCACTGAGGCCGTTGTGCCAATGACCATGCCTCGACCTAGTCCTGGAGGTCTTCCTTCCTGGAGAACTCTCTGGAGCTCGGAGTGGGTCGCGGGAGGCTGTGGGCCAGGCAGGTGGCAGGCAGGGCCTCGCCAAGGCCTGTTCTTGACTTCCAGGTCCTCCCTGCCGTCCAACCTGGAGATCCGGCGCCTGGAGGATGGGGCGGAGGGTGTGTTCGCCGTTACTCAGCTGGTCAGGCGCACGCAGTTTGGCCCATTCGAGTCCAGAAGGGTTGCCAAGTGGGAGAAGGAGTCCGCGTTTCCGCTGAAGGTAATGGCGCTGCCTGCGGGTGGGGGTGTGGGTGGGTGTGAGAGCTCGTGGCATCCTTCTGCGGTCACTGGCGCATGGGCTGGAGATCCCACGGGAGCCTGGTGTGCCCTGGGCAACGGCGTCGGCATCATCGGGGGCTGCGGGGGGCTGGATTTCTGTGGTGCCCTTGCGTTTGTGCACACTGCACCCTACACAGCTTCTCCAGAGAGCCCGGGAGAGTCCAAAGCCTGGCCGCTGTACCTGGGCGTGGTGGCCCGCGCCTGTGATCCCAGTACTCGGGAGGCTGGGGCGGGAGGAGCACTGCGAGTTCGAGGCCCGCCTGCGCTCCAACAGTGAGACCCTGTCTCAAAAAACAAAAACAAAAACAAGGTTCAGGGCAGACACTGAAAACCGAGCATCCACGCAGGCACATTTCAGCCAGAAGGGGGCGAGAAAGGCCCGTGACTCGGTGACAGAAGTAGAGCTAAGGGAGAGAGGGCAAGGCCGGTGAGGGCTGGGTAGGGTGGTGCCCGGCTCAGATGCAGGGCTCAGGTCCCAGTGCCGCCCCGTCATGGCTGGAGCCCAGGTGTGCCGTGGCACAGTGACCTTCCCCGGCGCCTGTGTCCTTTCCCCATGGCCTCTGTGTGACCCTCCTCACTGGCAGGAGCGCACCCCGGCCTGTGGGAGCCTGTGTGGCCCTCAGCCGCAGGCGACTGCAGCTCCGCCCGGCCCGCAGGTGTTCCAGAAGGACGGGCACCCCGTGTGCTTCGACACCTCCAACGAGGACGACTGCAACTGGATGATGCTGGTGCGGCCGGCGGCCGAGCCCGCGCACCAGAACCTCACAGCCTTCCAGCAGGGCAGCGACGTGTACTTCACCACCTCCTGCGACATCCCGCCTGGCACCGAGCTGCGCGTGTGGTACGCGGCCTTCTACGCCAAGAAGATGGACAAGCCCATGCTGAAGCAGGCCGGCTCCAGCGGCCACGGTAGGGTCCCCGGCACGGGCGTGCAGGGCCGGCATGGAGGTGGGGGCCTGACTGTGCGGGCTGTTTGCTCCTGGGACCCTGGCTGCGGAGAAGGCCCCCTCCCCCCTGAGTGCGGGGGACTTGGGCGCAGCCTGCTGCCCGACCAGGGTGTGCGTGCACGTGCACAGGTGTGTGTGTACCCAGGCGCGTGTATATGTGCACACGTGCGTGGTCAACGCAAGACGTGCCTACGTCGTGTGATCCTCCACCTGCAACTGCTCGTGGACGCGTCCTGTTGTCCTGGCAGCCCAGCGTGGGCTGCCACCCTGTGTGTGGAGCACCGTCGGGTCTTAAGTCACTTCGCCCACGTTGGGGAATCTCGGGTGCGGCTCCTCCTTGCCCAGCATCGAGAAGCCATGAGGAACGGCTGCCGTCTGATGCTCTGACCTGGAAACAGTGCCTGCACGTGGCTCCACCTGCTCCTGCCTGGGGAGCAGTTTCCCGTTGCCATGGAGAGAACTTGTGGACTGGCGGTGGACCCTGACCCCTCCCAGGGGACATGAGTCCCCCCAGGAAAGCGGTTTCCTTTCATCACAAGCGCCGCGTGACGGACGGCACGCAGCTCTGCAGAGGAGGCTCGGTGGCCGTGTGAGGTTCTGGTCGGCCCGAGTCGGCCAGTACCAGGTCTGGGATGCAGCTGTGTGTCCCCTCCAGCGGGCAGGCACTGCCGTGTGTTAGGAGCCATGGCAGGTCACGCAGGTGTCCCGGGGCCGCCCTGACAAAAAGTGCTGCACTCCACAAGCTTAACCGCAGAAACGGCCCCCGCTGCCCAAGAGCCCAGTGTCCAAGATCGCAGTGTCGCAGGGCCGGTTCCTTCCGAAGGTCAGAGCAGGGTCTGTCCAGGGCCCGTCTTGCCGTGGTTGTTGCTGGTCACTCTCCGCGTCCCTGCCCGGGCGAGGCTGTGTCACTCTGGCTCTGCCTGTGTCTTCCCGGGGCTGCAGCCCGTGCTCTTTGCGGGTGGGGGAGGAGCTCGCCTCGAGCTTCCAGGGCGGCACGGCATGTCGACAGAAAGGGATGGGAAGGACTTGGAGAGACCAGCTGCCTTTCCCCCTGCCCCCCCACCCCTGCCCAGCCCAGCCCCAGGGACTCTGTGGCAGTGCCACCAGGTCTGGGCCACTTCCCAGGCCAGATCTCCGAGTGACATCCAGGAAGCTGTGACCTGGATGGGACTCCCGGAGGCCTGGAGCTGTGAGCTGTGGCCCGCGGTGCCCTCACCTTGAGGTCGGGGTACTAGATCGACCCTGGGGACCGCCCGTGTGAGCTGGCGTCTGGAGTGGTGACAGACCCCTCATGAGTGCAGGTGAAAGCCGAGGTTAAGGCAGAGGGTGCTGCACCTTGCCTGCGTCCCAGCTGTCCTGGCTGCACTGTGCCCGTTGGGGAGGCCTCTGATTGGCAGCTGTGTAGAAGGCTGGATGTAAATGACACATCCAGCAGGGTCGCCCCCGATGCAGGAGGACCCACACCCTGGGGCATGGAAGGGCACCTCCGGGGAGCACGGACAGGAAGACGCAGCTACAGGTAGCCTGAGCCTGAGTGAGTGTGTCAGTTGGGGAAGTAAGTCAACAGTGAAAGATTTCAGGTCTACCTTTCGTGGTTTCTACTTTCTCCCTGGGGGCAGATGACAGGCAGCTCCTTCCCGGAGAAGGAGTTGTGGTGGTCAGCTTTTCTCCTGGGCAGGGACACAAGCCATGACTTAGAGGAGGGAGGTCTCACGTGGCTCGTGGCTTCTGGCACGTCCTGGTAGAGGGGCGTGGTGGGGCACAGCCGCTTGGCTCATGGTGGTCAAGAAGCAGAGCAAGGGAACGTAGACCCTAAGTCACCTCCGCGGTCACCCAGACAGAAGTAAGCTCCACGGTCCCTGGGGTAGATCCTGTCCAGTCCACACTGAGGTGGTCGCTGGTTGTCTGGTTGGGTCCCTGTGTCTTTTCTACCTGTTGAGCGCTCGACCCACTGTCCTAGGCTGGCTGATCCTGGCAGTGTTCCCCTGGGGCCCCCGCAGGATGTGAAAATGGTAGTGCCCCTCTGTGGCCTCCTGGGCCCCACCCAGCCCCTTCCTGACCTGGTTCTCCCGGGCCCTGGAGTGCCCGTGCAGGCCCATGGGAGCCGGCAGACACGGCTGCCCGCCCTTCTCTGCACGCTCTCCTGGGGCTGAGTGTGGTCACTGTGGCCGTGGTGTCCGTGCCCGGGCAGCGTGGCTGTTGCTGCCCCGTCACTGTCGTACCACCTCCAGGGTCACCAGCCCGCTCTCTGCTCTTTCACAGCCACAGGTGCCCCAGAACTTGGCACCCCGGCAGAGGCCGAGCGCGGCCCGTGGGCCTGCAAAGTGTGCGCCAGCTCCTTCCTAGAGCTGCAGCTGCTCAACGGTAAGACGGGAGCCAGGGGTGGCGCTGCCAGGGGTGCCACGTGCCCATGGGCCCTGCCACTTCGGGTGTTGGTGGGGCTGTCCCCAGCTCCAGCCTGCCTTGGGCCGCCCTCTCTCCAGGGTTCTGGCCACAGCCGGCTGCCAGGCTCGACAGCACACGGGACAGGCAGGCGCCAGGGCCACTGGAGCCACCACGAGCCGTGCCCGGCCTGCCCTCCTGCCCGTCGCTGTCCCATGTTCTTCTGTCTGCCCAGGCCGATGCCCCTTTGCGGTGTCAGGGAGAGTCCAGGGTGTCCCGCGTTGTGCCTAGCCTGGAGGCTTTCCGATGTTCTCTCAGGGCGCGCACTTGCACACGCCCCTTCTGGGGCCCACGCGGGGCAAAGACACACAAACTACACGCTGTGCCGTGAGCTCTGCTCGTGTGTACACTGAGTCCGGGGCTGGGGCTGTGACCCAAGGCCCCTCGAGGAGCTTCTGTCTGTTGCTGAGACAGGAACGGCGGGTGGCTGCAGGGTTGTCTGAGGGCTGTGTGTGCGAAGTGCTTCCCCCGCCCCCGCCGGTCTTGAGGTGGGTGGGGTCCAGCTGTGGGGCCAGAGTACAGGGATATTGTCCACAAGCGAGAAAGGCTTCTCGGATTTGCAGTTTTCCTTGGTGACTGGCTTTTTAAATTTGTTTTGTTCAGTTTTGAAGACAGGGTCTTGCTGTGTAGCCCAGGCTGGCCTCAGATTCAGAACAATCCTCCTGCCTCAGCCTCCTAAGTGAATGCTGGGATTATAGGCGTGCAGCACCATGCCTGGCTGGTGACTGGTTTGAATGAAGAAATAAAATCTGTTTATTCTGGCCCAGCAGTGCCAGTGGCCAAAGGTGGCAGACACAGGAAAAAAACAAAAAAAACAAAAATTTTGGGGCTGGGGATTTAGCTCAGCAGCACAGCACCTGCCTGGCAAGCGGAAGGTCGCGAGTTCAATTCCTGATACCAGAAAAAAACCAAAAAAAAAAAACAAAACAAACAAAGGTGGCAGACAGTGGCCTGTGTGGCTGTGCCAGCGTCTGTACAGCGCTGGGCCTGGCCCTCCGCCTGCTCCGAGGGTGCTGGCGCTGAAGTCTCATTCCCACCCCTGCCCCCATGCTTCAGGGTGGAGCAGGCGGAGGCTGCAGGGGGCGCATTGCCCACCTGCCTGTGCAGCAGTGTGGGGTGCTTGGGCACCGCCCCAGCCATGCTGCGGCCTCTGCTGACCCCAGCCTGCCCGAGGCCCGCCCCAGCGCCCTGCGCCCTGAGGGCCACTCTCTGCCAGCTTTCCCTGTGCACCGCCCCTTGGGGTGTTTCTCGGGTCACCTGGTGGCTGAGGAATGGGGCTCAGCACCAGACAAGTGCAGGGAAGCGTGGAGGCTGGAGCCGTGGGGGCAGAGGGCCTGTGTGTGCCAGATCCAGGCGGCACCTGGCACGAGCAGGTCCTCCTGGGGTTGTGCTAGTGCCGTGTACTCCAGCAGGGGTGTGGGGTTCCCTGGGGTGAGTCTCAGCCTTGATCACACCGTGCCTGACACCGCCTTCTGGAGGACCAAGTCTGAGGGCTCACCTGGCGTAGGAAAGCCTGATCGTGGAGTTTCAGGGCCTGGCCTGCCAGGTTTACTCTCTTTGGGGTCGGCCTGCTTCCAAACTAAGCCGGTGCCTCAGCTTGGATTTAAGTGAACTTAGAAGGTGTGTGACTTCAGGCAGGTGAAGATGGCCTTGTGCCTTTTGAAGACAGCCCCACCATGCAGAGCAGTGAGTGGCTTAGCACGAGCCCATCTCAAGAAGTGAAAACGAGCCGGGTGTGGTGACGCACACCTGTAATCCCAGCACTTGGGAGGCTGAGACAGGAGGCTGCTTCAAGCTTAAGGCCAGCCTGGGCTATAGTGAGTTCAAGGCCAGCCTGAGCTACACAGCAAGACCTGTCTCAAAAAAAAAAATCTTGCTAGAGGCAAACAAACAGCAAACAAACAAACATTCTCAGTACCTCAAAAAAACAAGAAAAAAAATCATCTATAATTTCATCCTATAGAGAAAACACTAGTGTTTTAATACACTAATATATAGATATAGATTTAATGGATATATATCTACATATAATAGATATATCTTATTTATATCTATATTTATATATATATAAACATATAGATATATAAACATATGTAATAGATATGTTTAATATACATAATCTATAGATATATACATATAGATATAGATAGATATATGTGCTTTTTAAAAAAACAAACCTGCCTTCATTGGGAGTTTATCCTTGCTCCATCACTTAATTAAAAAATAATAACACAAGTTGAGTATCCCTCATGGTAATCCAAAATCTGAATTGCTATGAAATTCTAAAGCCCCAAATCCACACTGCTTCAAGATCAGAAACACTTTTAATCCCAGGTGTTGTGGATAAGGAATACTTGACCCATACCTGTGTTTGGTGCAGTAGAAATGTTTTTATTTTCAAACACACTGGAATTAAAACTCATTTATCTAGACAAAGGGCACAGTTACCTGTAATCCCAGCACTCTGGGAGGCTGAAGCAGGAGAACCGTAAGTTCGAGCCAAGCCTGGGCATCTTGGCAATTCAGAGAGACCCTGTCTGGGAATTAAAAAAAGAAAAAAATTTAAAATGGGCTGGCAGCGTAGTTCAGGGTAAAGGCCAGGAGAGAGCGGGGAGCGCGGCAGTGGGCGGGCGGGAGGCAGGCGGGCCGCTGTCCCCGACGGCGCTGTCAGCCACAGTGTCCTTGCAGAGCACCTCCTGGGCCACCTGGAGCACAGCAAGGGGCCCACGCCAGGCAGCCAGCCAGAGGCAGCGGCAGTGCCCGAGAAGGAGCCCGGTGCACCCCGTGGGGAGCCCCCCGCGGCCCCGGAGGGTGCTGCACCCCCCAAGGAGAAGAAGAAGCCGCGACGCGGGCGGAAGGCCAAGGTGCCCAAGGCCCAGCAGCCCCGGGCCGTCGCGGAGGACGAGGAGCCTGCCGGTGAGTGGTTGGCGCAGGCCGGCCGCGGGGCACAGCCGTCCTGGGCCTCGGCTCGCCAGGTCCCCTCTTCCTGGTCCTCAGTTAACATGCAGGATCACGCAAGGCCGGTGCAGGCTGTGAGGTTTGATGGGGATGCCCCATGCCCGGCGCCCGTGGGGGCGATGCTCCCTCCCCACCGCCCTGCTCATCCCTGGCGGAGAGGAGCCCATCCTGGCAGGGTCCTCGTGCGTGGCATGGTGCCAGCTCCTTGCACCACCTGCCAGTGTTTGGTCCATTGCCCCATGCCTGGCATTGGCCCACCCGCCCTGTGAAAGAGTCTGTCGTCCTGCCCTCCGTGGAGGGTGCCATGTCCTCGGTCAGGAGTGGGCTTGCTCTCCGGGCCGCCTGTCCCACATAGTACACGCTGCACACGCAGCCAGCGGGACGCCCAGCTGCCGGCCCCTCCTGCCTGCCGCCTTACTGGTCCTGGGCGCCTTTTCTTTAACTATGAACAAGTCCATGGGCTTTGAATTCCAAAGAGGGGCCTGCGCATAATGTTGGCGGCTTCCCCCTGCTCCTGGGGTCTCAGTGGAGAGTGCCTGGTCCCCCTTGCATCGGATGGGGAGAGGAGTGGTTCGAGGCCCCGGGCAGCACCCTGCCTCGCTGGGGACGGGGAGCAGAGGGGCGGGCCAGGACGGTCGTGTCCTGCAGTCGCCTGTGCTCCGGGAACTCAGCAGGTGCAGCACCTGAGACACGCACGTGAGTCTGTCTGGGCACCCTTCCCTGATGCCGTCTCTGACCTTCTCTGAGGCTTGTTTGACGTTTGACTCTTGGGCGCTTTTCAGGCATCCCCAGGAAGGATGGTGTAGCTAATTATGAACTTAGGAGCCCTCAGTCTGTCGGGACCCGCGTAACAGGTCAGAAGGCCCTGCGGTACACCCACACCGCTTGGGCTCGGTATGAGGAGAGACTGAAGCGCTGTGATGTGGCTTTGAAAAAGAATCGCAGATTAGGACTTCTGTTTGGGAGAAGATGAACTTTTTTGTTTTTGGTGTTACTGGGGATTGAATCCAAGGCCTTGGCCCTGAGCTACGTCCCAGCCGTTTTCATTTTTATTTGAAGATGGGGTCTTGCTAAGTAGCTAAGTTGCCAAGGATGGGCTGGAACTTGCAGTCTTCCTGCTTCAGCCTCCCAGAGGGCTGGCACAACAGGTGTGCGCCACCACACCCAGCCTGCTTTTCTTTTTCCGTGGAGAACTGTGCATCCCGAACTTCCCGAGTGTCTCCCTAGCCTGTCACGTCCACTCTGTGCCCTGGCCTTGGTCCGTGGAGCAGCACACGTCCTGGGCTTGCCGTGCCCGCCCCGCCCCGGCGACCACTCTGCTTGTCACACCCCCTTTGCACAGAGCCAGTGGCGGAGATCATCACCGAGGTCCCGCCAGACGAGCCCGCGAGCGCCACGCCGGAGGAGCGGATCATGGAGCTGGTTCTGGGGAAGCTGGCCACGCCCACCGACACCGTCAGCCCGGTGCCCAAGTGAGTCCCGCGGCCACCGCTGCCCTCAAGGGCAGGGACAGGCTTTCTGTCTGCGTCACACGCAGAGTCAGGGTGGGCCGGGGCTGCTCCTGCCTTTGGCCGTTCGTGAGGCACAGTTCAACCATCTTGTGGTGTTTTCGGTAAATTGAACCCTTTGCCCTGCCGTGCCTGGCTTCCTTTGCTGTCAGTGCACAAGGAAACGATGTGTAGTTTTGTTGCCCCGGGCTGAGAGTCTGCCCTGCTGCCCAGTACGCCGGTGGTGCTTGTTTTTAGGCTGTTTTGGTGCTGGCCGACGGTGCCGGGTGAGTCCTGGAGACTAAGAGCAAGGCACATCAGAAGCGGTGCTTCCTGCGTGTTTGTACTCTTCGTGCCTGGGGGGCTGGGGGGCCGTCACCAAATCACGTTAATGGGAAGAGGCTCTCCCAGGTCAGGTTCAGATGCAGGGACGGGTGATTTCAGCTCATGCTCCCTGGGGGCGGTGTCGGGGGCCGGTGAGGCTCACGGTGGCCGTCGCTGGAGCCCAGCCAGCACCCTCCGTGCTCAAGGTGTGCCCTGCTGTGAGCCAGCCCTGCTTCGAGCAGACGCTTAGGGCTGCCGGCCAGTGTGGAGCAGGTGCCGTGGGACCTTCCCTGTTGGGTCCCGTGTCCCACCTGTCCCTGAGCCTCCTCCGTCCGGCTGTGTGTTGCGCAGGTTCACACATCACACGAGCGGCACGCTGACCCTCAAGCGGGGCCTGGTCCTGGCCAGCAGACACGGCCTCCGGCGGAAGCTGGCACGGCAGCTGGGCGAGCACAAGCGCGTGCACCAGTGCGGGGTGTGCAGCAAGGTCTTCCAGAACAGCAGCAACCTCAGCCGCCACGTGCGCTCCCACGGTGAGTGCGGGGCGGCGGGGCCCGCGGGGCAGGCGGGCTGCAGGCTCCGCACCCGATCTCCGTGCGTCAGACGCTCGCTGAGGTCACAAATCGCCTCCCGCTGGCTCACTAGGTGACAAGCTGTTCAAGTGTGAGGAGTGTGCGAAGCTGTTCAGCCGCAAGGAGAGCCTGAAGCAGCACGTGTCGTACAAGCACAGCAGGAACGAGGTGGGTGGGCGTGGCCCGCGTCCTCTGCCCGCAGACCGTGTCCAGTCAGTGCCAGGCCTGGAGAAGGCACGAGGCAGCGGGGTTCTCGCGTCCTTGGTGGCCTGCTGTCACCTGCTCCCCGGGCCTGTGAGTGGTCACCAGGCAGCGGCACAGTCAGAGCGTGGGTCTGCGTGTGGCTTCGCCCCTCCGGGCTGTGGACGGCTCCTGAATAGAGATGGGCGGAGGATGGTAGAGCTGCAGGTCGGGCCCGCGTGTGGCCGCCAGCTGACGGGCCCCTCCGACCAGGTGGACGGCGAGTACCGGCACCGCTGCGGCACCTGCGGGAAGACCTTCCGCATGGAGAGCGCGCTGGAGTTCCACAACTGCAGGACAGGTGAGTGGCGGTGGTGGGAGGCTGTCCCGCATCCATGCCTGCAGCCACCTCCGGCCACCGTGAGGGACGCAGTGGGCGGCGGTGGGGGGGGCAGTGGGTCCCACAACCACACCAGCAAGCAGTAGCAGGTGGGGACCTGTGCAGGAAACGGGCTCCGCCATCCCGGCCAGGCCACTGTGTGGCGCTGTCCTCCGTGCTTCTCTTCTTAGCCCCAGAGGCAGGGGAACTGTGCTGTGGAGGCCGCAGCCCTGGCTGTGATCCGATTGCCTGGGGCCTGGCTCCGGCTCCATGGCCAGGCTTACAGCTGGGAAACAAGAATGTAGAAGAATGTACAAGTGCGGCCTGAAGATACACCAAATGTTTATGTGTTTTCATATCTATTATGATAAAAGACACACTGCCACAAATCCCCCACAAAATCCTCGTCACTTCCCACACACTCATCCCTCTGTCCTGGCCACGTCCTGCAGCAGCTCTGGAGTCCTCTTTCCTGAGTGTCTTTAGCTGCGCTGTCCTGGCTGCCTCGATGTCCTGAACTGATTCAAAATGTTTCCCTGTCACGATCACCTTGACTGTGGGGAGGAGCTGGAAGCTACACGGGGCCGGATCTGGAGAATCAGGTGGCTGAGGGCAAGCGTCGGGTTCTTACGAGCTGCCTGTCCGTTCGGTGACACTTGGAAGTAGCATTCACTGTGTTTTTCATCACACCTCATAAAGACACTCAGGAAAGAGGACTCCAGAGCTGCTGCAGAAAGGGGCCAGGACGGGGGGATGAGCGTGTGTGAAGGGAGGGAAGCATTCTGAGGGAGTTCATGGCATTGTGTCTTTACTGTAGTAATTCTTCTTAAAATACAGATGCTCACTGTATATTTTGATGGAATCTTGTATGTCAGCAAGGAGGTGTGGCTCGGAGCCCAGGAGGGGGTGCTGTCTTCCTGGCCATGGTTCCCTGAGGCCCGGGGCGCCCTGTGCTATGGGGACGGCCGTGAAGTGGAGGCCCAGGTGGTTGGACGGGCATGAGGAAATGCAGAGGGGAGGGTCACTGTCACCTTGCGTCCTGCCTCTCTAGGACGCAGGTAAACCAGGGGACAGGGTGCACCGAGCGTCAGCCCACAGCCCCGCCAGGCTGGCCCCCCACGCCAGCCCCCCACACCCTCCCATTCTCAGTGGTCCAGGCTGCCTGTGCCTCTGCGGTGGAGCTCAGGAGCCCCTGAGTGGGGTGCCCCTGCTCCCCACTGCTGGGCATCTCCGTTCACCCAGACAGAAACGCGGCTCGTCCGCTCTGCCTGCACCTGCTGTGCCACGGCAGGGCGGCCCTGAGGGCAGGCAGGAGTTGTTCTCAGCGTTCACTGCTCTCAACCTTCCGCGCCCAGGGCAGGAATGGGCGCAGAAAGCTGCCTGGTGACCTGAGGGCGGCGGTGCCCTGCACCCAAAGCCCCAGCTGGGTGTGCGAGACTCCAGGGCCCACCCGCTCCAGCTTGGCTCCACCAAGCTGCTCCCCAGTGGTGCTGTGGCTGCAGGCTTACGGACCTGCTGGATGCTAGGGATGCTGCCTGCCTGAGGCCTTGAGGTTCTGGCTTGGACCCCGAGTCCAGCCCAGGGTCTGCACTCGGCAGAGTCCAGCTTGAGGCCAGAACGTTGTCCTCTGTTTCTCTGGACGCGAGTCAGGGGCGGGGAGGGGCAGCTGTGGCTTTGTCAGTGGGATGCCATCTCCATGAGGCTGTTGAGGATGCAGGCAGAGGGCCCGGTGCTGGGAGATGCTGGCAGGTCGAGATGCTGGCAGGTCGGCGTGTGCGCCTGGGGTGAGGACAGGCGGGCCCACACGCGCTCGTTCGCATGGCGCCTTAGTTGCCTGCTCTTGCGCTGCTGTCAGTGTGGAGCTGGGGGACACACGTCCTCCTCATGCACATGCGGGGACCTGCACATGTGCAGTCAGTGGGCTTCTGTCACACGCCCCACGGTGCTGTGACCGGGGTCCCTGTCTGGTGGGGACGTCCTCTGCTTGGCCTGTGACCCCAAGAGGGCCCTGGCGAGCAGCAGGGGCTCAAGTCCAGCCTTTGGGCAGAAGTGGACCCTGGCCTCAGAGCCTGGGCTCCGGAGCGAGCAGCTGCTCTGGTGCCTTTGGGAGCTCACCGTGTGCCCCTGTGCCGTGGGCGGGGCCGGTGGGGGCTCACCTGGGCTCACCGGTGCCGTGGGCAGGGCCAGTGGGTGTCTTGGTGATTTAAGGCAACGGCACCGCACCATGAAGGCGTGGCTCTTGACATCGCCTGCTGGGCCCACTCCTGAGAATTCGTGCAGAGGACATGGCAGGGAAAGCTGCTTTACCAAAATCACACTGCCGCCTTGTCTGCGGTGCCTGACCCGTGAGGCCGCCTCAGTGCACGGGTGGAATGTGGCGCACCGCTGAAGTAACAGTGACTTTGCTCCACACCCGGCACCTGTGCCCTGCTTGGTCACGAGTCCAGCAGGGCTGGGAGACAGGACGGAGCCATCAGACGCCAGGCCAGATAGGTGGCCAAAGGGGGGCGTGTCCTGTGAACAGTATGCCAGGCTAGCGAAGGAAAGTGATCGCGCACCATGGAGCACTACCCTGCCATAAAGAAGGATGCACTCCCGTGATTTGTAGGGAACGGATGCCCCGCGAGCCCGCAATGCTAAGTGAAATAGAAACACAAGCTTAAATATGGTGTGGCCTCTTAGATGAGAAACCCAAAGTGTAAAAGACAGTGGTGGGAAACAGGGAGAAAGATCTTGTGCCCCCGGGAAGGGGACCGAGAGGTGGAGGGAGGAGGAGGGGGGAGGGAGGTGACAAAAGAAGCCGCGTGATCACATGCACAGCACCCCATGGGAATGCGGTCATCATACGTAGCCAGGGTGGACACGTGAAATAGAAACCGGAAACAATAAAAGGAAAGGGCGGTGAGGAGTGACCCAGACGCAGCGCAGCCCCCCGCACCCCTCCTCCGCCCAGCCGGGGGTCCAGCTGGCTCCAGGCTGAGGTCCCCCCGGGGCCTGTCCCTGCCCGTCCTGGGTGCGGACCCTCTTGCGTCAGTCTCCGCCAAGGTCTCTGCCTGCCACCTCCTCCCTTGCTCTTGGCTCCGGAGTGCCTCATGGTGACCACACGGCTCTTCCTGTGCCCGAGTCCCAGACTGGGGGCCGAAGCCGCCACCTACCCTTGGGGCTCCGTGGAGCCCGGGGTGAGGGTGTGTCCCCAGATCTGCGCCCCCTGGGATCCCTTGGCATGGTGACATGGCATGGCGCCGGGTGGCTCGGTGGGGAGCCTCAGGCCTGGGTGCTGCCACACCCAGCACGAGCGCTGCCTTTGCGGAGGGCTGCGTGTGAGGCCGGGACGTGGGTGCAAGTGTGGGTGTGTGCAGTGGGTCCCTGTTGACAGGAAGTGTGTGAGGTGCACGTGGGCATGCTAAGTGTATTTTGTGAGTGTGAGTGTGGTGTGTACATCTGTGTGGCATCTGTGGAGAGTGGAGCACTGTGTTTTGCGAGTGTGTGTTCAGTGTGCATAGTGTGTGCGAAGCACTGTGCTTTGTTTTGAGTGTGTTGCACGTCATGGCTGTGTACTGAGTGTGTGTCAGTAACAGACTAGGAACACCCGGGTTCTGGGTTGCTTTGCCTGTTGGCCTTGGGGACAGCGCCTCACCGTGTCGCTCGGGCTGCCTTGAACTCACCGTGGCCCTCCCTGGGATCCCACGACGGGGGTCGCGGGTGCGTCTCGTCAGCCGAGCTGATGTGCCTGGTGTGTGGTGCGGGAGGCGTGGAGGCTTGGGGCCGTGGGGCAGGACAGGGTCAAGCCCTGGCCCGCGTGGAGGGGACCCATTGTGGGCGGTGGGGTGAGGCCTGGGCCCGCCGCCGCATTCCTGTTCAGGCCGGGACACCCGGCAGGTCACCTGCGGAGCCCGGGAGCAGCCGGCGGGGGCGGGGCCGGCAGGCCTGGCTGGCGACTGACTGGGCGCCGTGTGTCTGCTTGCTCCCGGACAGATGACAAGACGTTCCAATGTGAGATGTGTTTCAGATTCTTCTCCACCAACAGCAACCTCTCCAAGCACAAGAAGAAGCACGGGGACAAGAAGTTCGCCTGCGGGGTCTGCAGCAAGATGTTCTACCGCAAGGACGTCATGCTGGACCACCAGCGGCGCCACCTGGAGGGTGAGTCCCGCGGCCTGCGGCCCCTGCTCCAGCCCCGTCCAGTAGCTGGGGACCCCGGGGCCTGGCAGAGCAAGGACTGTGGGAGACGGGGTACGAGCAGCAGTAACAGTGGGATGAGATCCGGACACCAGCTCTTGTAGGAGCAAATGTTACGCTGCCATGTCAGGAATTTCTTCTAAGAGGCTTTGAATACTGTGCAAAAATGCCAGGTGCAGTGGTGCACACCTGCAGTCCCAGCCCTTGAGAGGCTGAGGCAGGAGCATCACTGTGAGTTTAAGCCCAGGCTGTACTACATAGCAAGGCCGTGTCTCAAAAACAAAGAAAAACATGAAAAAAATCCTTCCTGTACAGCACAAAGCAGGGAGACCCCGTATAAAATTACAGGTGTGGTCGGCTTTCGGCCCACACAGGGACAGCGTCCCGCGGACACTGCTGGTGTGGGCTACCAGCCAGACCCTCTCTGCTCCTGTTGCCAGCGGGGAACGCTGTCGCCAGGGCTCGTGACCAGCTGTGTGCAGCAGGCCTGGGGAGCTCTGTGTCCCCAAGCGGGGCTCCCAGTGGGGGGGGGGTCACACGAGGAAACGGCCGGGGTGCAGAGCTGCCCTGCCAAGAAGAGGTGTGGCGGAGGGTTGGTGCAGGGTCCCAAGGGATGCTGGGACTGGTGTCTCCAGCCTCCTTAGGGTCTTGACCTTTCTTCCAGGAACCGCTATCCTTTGAAGTGGCCACAGGACCAAAATATCTTTTATTCACACTTGAGACCTTTTGTTCACAAAGAATGAGCCTGAACTTACTAAAGAGGAAAGTGGAAGTCAGGCAAGGTGTCCCACACTCAGGAGACTGAGGCAGGAGGATCACCATACGTTTGAGGCCAGCCAGGGCTCCATAGTGAGACCTGTCTCAAAAACAAAACTAAACAAGAAAATCAAGCAAACAAAAAAGAAAAAACAAAAAAAGAAAAGGAAAGATAAAAAGTCATACATAGTTTAACTGTATGACTCATGGGTACATGCGTGTACATGAACATGCAGGTATACAAGTATCCACATGTGTGTGTATACCCAAAAACATACCATGTACATGTGCCCACACACACAGAGACCCACACTCATGCATACATCCTTACACATGCGTGTACACAGGCATTAAAAACAGCAGTGGGGGGGCTGGGAATATAGCTCAGTGTCATAAGCGCCACTAGGCAAGCCTGAGGTCATGAGTTCAATTCCCACATACACACAAAAAAAAAATAGTAAGGACTTCTTTAGCCAGGCGTGGTGGCTCACTCCTGTAATCCCAGCACTCGGGAGGCTGAGGCAGGAAGATCATTGTGAGTTCGAGACCAGACTGGGCTACAAATGAGCGCAAGGCCAACCTGAACTGCACAGCGAGACCCTGTCTCAAAAAGACAAAAAAAAAAAATAAAAAGAAAACAAAACAGCAGTGGGATCACAGCCCACATGACTTTCCACACCTTACTTTCTCACTATGCCTTTCCACGGGACTCATAAAGACCCACAGCGTTTTCCCTTGGGATTCTTTTGGGGAGTCTCTGGCCCCTGCTCGGCTGCTGGGGAGCCCCAGGCAAGCTGCTGTACCACTGGGATCTGACTGCCCCTCCCTGGGGTCTGTGCCCAGCTTGGATGAGACCCTGCGCTGAAGCCGTGGCACACCTTGGCACAGAATCAGTGCTGGGTCTGGGCACCCAGGTCCCTGCCCAGGTCAGCATGTGCTTTGGACACAGCCCTGCTGTGGGCGTCACCTCAGGGCACGAGGCTGCTTCGTGGTGCCCCTGTCCCTGGAAGCCTGATCCACCCTTGCCTCCAGCCGGTGTGGCTGCCCGGCCTGTGTGCCCAGGAGCCCAGGGTCTGCCTGTGTCTGTGCCCAGCTTCTGGGCTCAGCGGGCTCATCCAGTCGCATGGACACACCCTGGAAGGAAGCCGTGAGCACTGCTCTCTTCCCTCAAGGCTTGCGTGCTTCACGTGAACTTTTTATCATTGTTATCACCATTGAGAGGGACTCTCGCTGTGCGCCCAGGCCGGCCTGCGCCCCAGGCCTCAAGCAGTCCTCCTGCCCCTCCTGACCACTGCAGCTTGGGCGTGGACCACTGCACCCCGCCAGAGGGAGCTTTCTAAAGATCGAAGTCTGTTTCTCTGCTGCTCCTCAGCAGTATCCCTCAAACCCAAAGATTTTGTGCTCATCTCACCTGATCCTCCTTGGACTAGTTTAGTTTGTAACACGTGGATGGAAATGAGGTTTTTTTTTTGGTTTTTTGTTGTTGTTTTTCATAAAGTGTCTGCAAGTAGCCGTTAAAGGCCTGGCACACTTGCAGTGAGCTCTGGGATTAATCCAGCTCCCCGTCCAATTGAAGCTCCGTGTCACTCTTCCAAGCTGAGACCCTGGGTGCTCTGTGTGTGTGTGTGTGTGTGTGTGAGTGTGTGTGAGCGCCTGCTGGCCTGTGCAGCCACCTCCTCTCTATGCGGGTGTGGAGGTGCTCTGGTGCCCGTGTGCCGAGGGCTGCCGCGGGTCCCGGGCTCCTTGTCGCCTCTGTGGGCAGCCCCGCCTTGGGCCTTGTGCGCACTGGCCGAGCACTCACTGTCTGCCCCGGGCCGGGCTTCCAGGTGTGCGGCGGGTGAAGAGAGAGGACTTGGAGGCCAGCAGCGAGAGCCTGGTCCGCTATAAGAAGGAGCCCTCGGGGTGTCCCGTGTGCGGCAAGGTAAGGCCCGCCAGCGGCGCCTGCGCGCTGGGACTGGGTGGAAGGTGTCATTTTCCTGCCTTCACGCTCAGAGCTGAAGCCCAGAGCAGCATAGGGTTTGGGGTGAGCCGCTGGGCTCTGATAGCATCAAATTGAGGCGCACGGTCATAGCTCCCTGTCGCGCAGGCTCCGTGCGGGTGAAGGTGGGGGAACAGGACCGAGCTGGGAAAAGCGGTTTGTCCTTGGCATCCTGGGCCCTGGGCTCCTGCGGGTGCTGGTCCCCTCTCCGAGGTGGAGAGTGTGCATCCCGCATGAGCAGTCACCCCGGCACGCAGGCGGGTGCCTGGCATCCCCACAAGGCTGCAGCTGTGAGCGTCCCATCCCCTGCCCCTCCCGCCAGCACCTGTGGACTCCCCCCCCTTTACATGAAGCTTCTGACTGCTTTCTAAAGCTGCACAGCAGCCAGAGCCGGGTCTCCCTCACTCCCCGAGACAGGAAATGCCAGGGCAGCAGGGTGCGGGGTGGGGTGCCGGAACACAGCACACAGCCCAGGGCAGACTTTTCTGATGTTGGCTTTCAGAAATCGCAGGTGTCTCTCCGATGCCGGGCTCCTCGGTCAGCCCCGTGTTAGTGAAGTATTTCAGTGAAGCTGGGCGTGGGGCGCACGCTGTGATCCCAGAGCTCCGAGAGGCCAAGGCAGGAGGATCCCAAGTTTGAGCCCAGCGTGGGCAACCAACTTAGTGAGACTTAAATCAGAATAAAAGGGCTGGGGATGTAGCTCGGTGCAGGGCCCTGGGTTCAATCCCGAGTACTGCAAAAAAACCAAAAAAGAAAAGATTTCCACGAGCTAGAGTCCCTGCTGGCTACGGGAGACAGTGTGTTCAATCAAGAGACCTGAGCAGGCGCCTCGCGTCTCTGCGCGGGCTCTGGGCGGCCCTCACGGGCGTCTCCGGCCCAGGTGTTCTCCTGCCGGAGCAACATGAACAAGCACCTGCTCACCCACGGGGACAAGAAGTACACCTGCGAGATCTGCGGGCGCAAGTTCTTCCGCGTGGACGTGCTCAGGGACCACATCCACGTGCACTTCAAGGTGCGGGCGGCGGGCACGTGGGCCCCGGCGCTGGGCAGGGCTGGGGGCACAGGGCCGCTTGGAGCCTGGCGCTGTGCTGGAGCCGGGCTGTGTGTCCGTAGGACATCGCGCTCATGGACGACCACCAGCGGGAGGAGTTCATCGGCAAGATCGGGATCTCGTCCGAGGAGAACGAGGACAACTCCGACGAGAGTGCGGACTCGGAGCCCCACAAGTACAGCTGCAAGAGGTGTCAGGTACGAGGCCCCGGGGCAGGGAAGGATGCTGGCTGCCAGCCAGAGCGCCCACCTGGCGCCTTCGTGCAAAAGGAGGGAGGGCCGCTGCTCCCAGGGAGCCACTGGTGTCCCTGGGCCCCGCCTGTCAGAGCTCACGCGTGGCCCGGTGTGGGCTCACGGGCAGTGCTGTGCCCAGCATGGGTGGCCGTGTTGGCCATGGGCCGGGCTCCCCTCCCGCCCGCCGCTGCCCCGGGCCGTGCGGGAAGGGGCTTGCTGGGGTGCAGCCCCCTCCCCCTCCCCGCGGGCGCTGGGTGCCGGCCGGCGGTTGTGAGAGCACTTGTGCCCACAGCTCACCTTCGGCCGCGGCAAGGAGTACCTGAAGCACATCATGGAGGTGCACAAGGAGAAGGGCTACGGCTGCAGCATCTGCCACCGCCGCTTCGCCCTCAAGGCCACCTACCACGCGCACATGGTCATCCACCGCGAGAACCTGCCGGACCCCAACGTGCAGAAGTGAGCCGGCTGCGGGGCCTGCGGGGCGGCGGGTCCCTGCCAGGGCAGGGTCCCAGGGAGGCCGCAGCTGGGCGGCTCAGGACCCGGTCTGGCGGCCTCCTCCTACCTACTCCGCCTCTTCCGGTCCGTGTCCATTTGTGGCCCTGTTTTGAGCGCTCGGGTTAGGGCTGAATCTTGGAGGCCCCGGCTCTGTTTGTGACAGAAGCCAGCATTCTTGCGCCTTCTGTGGACCTTGGAGCCCTGGGCCCCCGTCCCCTGGGTGCTTGGGTCAGGGCCCGCGCAGTGGCAGTGGTGTCGCGCGCTGCAGCCCGGGCCGCCCCGAGCAGATGTCTGCTCTCAGGTACATCCACCCGTGCGAGATCTGCGGCCGCATCTTCAACAGCATCGGGAACCTGGAGCGCCACAAACTCATCCACACCGGTGCGTGGCCCAGCTCCGCCTCTGTCCGGGGTCACGCCCCGCCGTCTGTCTCTGCCCCGCCCCCGGCCTCCCAGCCCCGCCCTCCAGGCCCTCGGGGACCCTTTCCTGCAGGCCGCGATGCCCGGCTGGGTGCTGGTGGCCGCCTCCTTGCCAGCTGGCCGTGGGGCACCAGCGCCTGTCTCCGCCCGGCCTGCAGGTGTGAAGAGCCACGCGTGCGAGCAGTGCGGCAAGTCCTTCGCGCGCAAGGACATGCTCAAGGAGCACATGCGCGTGCACGACAACATCCGGGAGTATCTGTGCGCGGAGTGCGGCAAAGGTAGGTGGTCGGCGGCCGGGCGGGGCTGCGGCAGCACCCCGCTCTGTTCCAAGGCAGCGGCCCTGGCTTTAAGGGCACAGGCAGATCGTTTGCAAAGTAGGGAGACAACACGCCCTGCAGTTGCTTAACGGGGCGGTAACTCAGAGGTAAAACGCCCTGTGGTCAATGGGACGCTCCCAGGAGGAGTTACCATGGTAATGCGTTCCCCTCCGCGCCTTCCCTTCCCTCCGTCCTGTGCAGTACTGGGGATGGAACCCTGGGCCTTGGCACCCAGCCCCAGCCCCAGCCCTTTTTCACTTTGTTTTAAGACACAAAGTCTAAGTCACTATGTTGCCCAGGCTGGGGTAGAATTTAGATCCTTCTGCCTCAGCCTCCCAAGTGCTGGGATTGCAGTCATGTGCCACTGAGCCTGGCTCAGATTCTTGTCCTAAAAACCTCCTGAAGCCCCCAGGCAGTGGGTCCCCACCCTCCTGACAGCCCCATTCCTTTGTCAGGGCTGAGGCAGAACCATGCCCTTCAGCAAGGTGACAGACGTTTCTCTGCCTTGCTGTTAGGGTCTTTAAAGTTTTATACTCCATAAGTGGTTTTATTTTTTCTTTCATTTAGCTTTTACAAACATAGAACAGTATAAAGAAAACTCAAGGGCAGTGTAACCCAGCTAGCAGATGGGCCCTGTTAGCCCGTGCGAAATGATAGCTTGTGAGCTAGGCATGGTGGCACACACCTATCATCCCAGCACTCTGGAGGCTGAAGCAGGAGGATCACCCTGAGTTTGAGGCCAGCCTGGGCTACTTAGCGAGTTCAAGGCCAGCCGCCCCTGCAAAAAAAAGGAAAGAAAGAAAGAAAAGAAACAAGAGCACCTGGAGGTAGAAAGGAAGTGCTGTGGCAGTGATTCCCTCGTCCTCTCTGGAGGTTGGTATGGCTTCGGGCAGGGGCAGCAGGGCTGGGTCACTGACCAAGGCCCCTCCAACTCCCAAAAGGTAAATTTCTTAAAATGTGAGCCAAGCACTCAGGAATAATCCACGAGACATCTGTTCGGCACGCAAGAGGGAAAACCGGGTGTTCAGAGGTCTAGGAAGGACATGCCTCTTCTGGGTGTGGGGATTTGAAGCATTTAAAAAATACCACTTTTGCCGGGCATGGTGGTGCACTATGGTCCCAGCACTCACGAAGCTGAGGCAGGAGGATCGTTGTGAGTTGGAGACAAGCCTGGGCAAGCCTGAACTATGCATAGCAAGACCCTGTCTCAAAAAGACAAAAAAAACAACCCGCTTTTCCCAAGTAGCTTGTATGCGGGGTGTAGACTACACCCAGACCTGGTGTGGAGAACCTTACCTTTCGTGCCCAGGGGCTGTTGGGTTTATTTCACAATTGTTCACAGAGTTTTTTTGAAAAATGGAAAGGAAAAGGTTGGAGTGGAGGTGCACGCCTGTAATCCTAGCAGTCTGGGAGACTGAGCAAGGAGGATCACAAGTTTGAGCCCAGCCTGGGAAACTTAGTGAGACCCGGTCTCGGAGTTTTAATAAAGGTCTGGGATGCGGCTTAGTGAAGCTGCTCTGGATTACATCCCTAGAAAGTGACATCGCCTTAACAAACTCAGGCCACTCACGTGGGGGAGGGACAGAGCCTACAGCTAGCTGGAGGGGCAGCGACAAGGCCCCCACCCTGGGTGGAGCAGACTGCCTGCTGAGCACCCCTAATTCACAAACCCACAATCTGAAATTCTCCGAAGTCGGAAACTCTGAGCCCTGGACTGAGGGCTCAATTCCAGAATTGTCTGATTTTGAAGCAATTTGCATTTCAGACTTTCACCTTAGGGATGCTTAGCCAGGCAAGTCCGGGCAAATACTCCAAAACTGAAAAACTCCCAAATTCACACGCAGTCTGGGTGAGGTGTGCCCAGCCCACCCTTGCGGTGTGGTGGCTGGCGCAGTGTGACTTGGCAGCCTCTCTGTGTTAGGCAGCTTGGGATGCCGAATGGGGAGTTGCACGCACACTGGTGCCATGGCCTCAGGACCCCTGCCCGTGTTCCCTCTGCTAGGAGTTCTGTTTCCCAAGCTACCTGGGTCTCACCACACCCCTGTTGGGTTGGGTTCTCGAGGGAGGGGACCCCCAACATGGGCTCTGATGAGCCAGGCTCCCCAACAGCCTCGCCCGCTCACTGTCCCTGCCTGGGCCTGAGTCTGGCCCCCTCGCCAGGAGCTGCTGTCCCCACCTTGAAGGAAAGCCTGCGGGGCTCAGTCCCCGCACACGGCCAGAGCTCAGGTGTTTGTTGAATGAACAAAGGAAAACCCGGGGTGGCGAGTACCTGTAAAAATGTGGGCATAGCGTCTGCACTGGCCACACCACGTCTTTCTGAAAGAGCCAGGAAGACAGCCCCTGAGGGTGACGTCCCTCGGGCACCATCGGGGGCGCTCATGGGCTGGAGAGGGGAGGTCGTGGGAGGCAAGCTCCGGAACAGTTTCAAGCGCTGGCGGGGAGCCCAGAGGCCACGCCCTGTGTCCTTTCTGTCCCCCAGTGAGGTGGTGTGTGATTCTTGAATCAGAAGATTGTTTTTTCTTTTTTTGGTCTTTTTTTTTTTTGTGATCCTGGGGATTGAACTCAAGGCCCTGCACTGAGCTATATCCCCAGCCCTTTTTTATTTTTTATTTTGAGACAGGGTCTTTTTAAGTAAGTCACTAAGTTGCCTCGCCTGGCCTCAAACTCAGGATCCTCCTGCTTCAGCCTCCCAGTAAGCAGAGATTACAGGTGTGCAGCACAGCCCACAGCTTGAAAACTGTTGAAGCTGAAGCAGCTGTCACAGCTAGCTGTGTCTCCCAGGCTCCCGCGGGCACCGGGCTCCCCCTGCTGGCTCTGCGAGGCAGCTTTACCTCCGGTCCTGGGCTCCAGGTTTCGGAATTCCGGGGTTGCGCCGTGTCTTCCAGGCTGCTCAGCCGCAGGCTCTATGCCTCCCGCTGGCTCCTTTCCGGGCAAGGTGGTGGCAGCCTCTCCAGCCACAGTCCACAGTTGGAGCAGGACTGGGCGTGTGAGTCCTGCCTGCTCCCCAGCTCCTGTCCTGGGCCGCTCACCCCTTCCCTTCCCAGCTCAGGCCCTGTGCCAGAGACATTTCCTCTTCACCTCAGTCCCTGAGGCTCTGGCTTATTTTTTTTTTTTTTTTGGTTTTTCTCCGGTACTGGGAACCAAACTCATGACCTTGCGCTTGCCAGGTAGGCGCTTTTGCTGCTGAGCTAAATCCCCAGCCCCAGGCTCTGGCTTATTTCAGCTCCTTGAGATTGGCAGCATTAGCCGGGCATGGTGGCGCACGCCTGTCATCCCAGCGCTCAGGAGGCAGAGGCAGAGGCAGGAGGATCTCAAGGCAGGTTTGAGGCCAGCCTGGCCTATGTAGTACGAGCCTGTTTCAAAAAACAAACAAACAAAAAGATGACCAGCATTAAATTCAGAGCTGATCAGAAGCCACAAATGAAACCACAAACAGTATAGGGTCCTCACCGGGACTAGCATCTGTCACCCCCGGGGGCAGGAACCAGAGTCGACCTGCACTGTCCCCTGGTCGTTGGCGTGGGCCACCGTGTGAGGGTGCGGGAGGTCCCCAGCGTCCCTGCCCCGCTCTGCACAGCGCTCTGGTGGCCTCCGTCCGGCATGACGTGGGGTCCAGGGATCCGGGTGCCAGGCCCGGCCGCCCAGCAGCCGCTTCCGCCCCCAGGCATGAAGACCAAGCACGCGCTGCGCCACCACATGAAGCTGCACAAGGGCATCAAGGAGTACGAGTGCGAGGAGTGCCACCGCAAGTTCGCGCAGAAGGTCAACATGCTCAAGCACTACAAGCGGCACACGGGTGAGCGCGCCGGCCCTGCCCCGCGGCCCGGCCCTGCCGCCCGTGCACACGCTGGCCCGTTTTGGAGGGCTCGCTGGTTCCGAAACCCCGCGTGGGGGCGGCGCGGCTCCCCTGTGGGCCGGGCGGGAGCTGCGTCCTCTCTCTGGCCGTTCCCTTGGCACTGCCAGAGCTTCTCCGTGCGCTGAGATCCCAGTGGCTGTGTTTTGGGGTCTTGTCCCCAAGGTGGCCCTCGGTGCCCACATCTCCAGGGGCTCCGCCCTCGCCGGCTGCCGCTCCAGGGTCTCGGATCTGAGGTCCTCCGTCCTTTCCGAGCTCACTTTCACCCAGAGCGAGAGGCGGGAAGAGTTCAGCCCCGGAGGGTCCAGCCTTCCCGCGCTCCCCGCCGCCTGGTCTGCGCGTGGCCCGGCCCTGTGGCCCGGCTGTGTCTTTTGCCTCTGGGAGCGACGTTCTGCCCTTGGTCTGTGTGTGCTTTGTGGCGCACTGTCTCGGCACTCTGACTGTCTTAAAGTCGGGCGGGGTTTGGCCTCCGCTTCACCCTTCCCGGTCAGGATCGCTCCGAATCCTGAGTCTTCAGGCCGTCCGGTGAGCTCAGGACCGTCCTGGGAAGAAGGGCGCCGCTGGTGTGCTGAGGGGGTCACACGGAAGCGTGGACTGCGTTAGGGAGCGCGGACCCTTCAGCCCCTTCGTTCTCCCGTGCACACGCGTGGATCGTGTTCCCTCCTCTTGGCATCTTCAGATCTTCCGTCAGTGTTTGGATGTGATTTTCACTGTGCAGGTCTCTGCTCCCTGGTTAAGTTTATTCCTAGGTATTGGTTTGATTTTCTTTTCGTATCTATTATGGATAGGATCATGTTCATGCTTGCTTTCTCAGCAAGTCTTTCTTTTAATATTTTGGGACAGGGCCTCACTAAGTCATTCAGTTGCCCACGGGGGCCTTGAACTTGCCGTGCTCCCGCCTCAGCCTCCCAGAGAGCTGGGTTACGAGTGTGCCCTACTGCGCCAATTGTACAATTATTTTGTGTGTTGATTTCGTATCCTGCAACTTCCTTGAATTCGCCAGGTGTCACAGTGTGCTGATGGGGTCGCTGGGTTTACCCGTGCCTAAAAACCGGGGTCACTGGCGTCCTCTTAGTCCTGCCTGTACCCCAGCTACTCCGCCGCCCCGGTGCTGAGCAGAGCAGCAGGCAGGAGCGCCTCGGCTGGCCCTGCTCCGCGCGGCCCTTGTCAGGAGGAGGGATCGGCCTGGGCTTCCCATCGGGTTTCCGGTGCTGCGTCTGCGTGGGCTGAGAGGCGTGACTCCCGCCCCGCCCTCTGTACCGAGTCGAGTCGCGTGTGCGGGGCCAGCCTGTGTCCCATGGCGCGTGACCTCGCTGTGCTGGCGGAGGATGCAGCGTGGCCCGGGCGCTGGCACTGCCGTCCCCTGCTCCCGCCCCCTGTGTTGGGTCCTGGTCCCCTCCGGCCCTCGGTTTCTCACTGCCTGTCTGAGGTCTCATCAGGACTGAGTGGGGTGTAGATCAGCAGACTCCTACAGACATCCCCCGGGCTCCACTCGAATTGGTCCTCCACCTCCGCCTTCCCACGCCCCTCCCTCTCCAACAGGAGCAACCCTGCAGCAGAATAAGTTTTTCAAGTCAGTTTCTTGGTTCTTTTGGGATGCAGTGTTGTGTGTCCTCTTTGGGCCACTTGTCTTCCCCTCGGGGCTGTCCCAGATAAGACATCTATTCCGTGTAGTTAAATTAAAACTCTTATGCTGGGCGTGGTAGCAGACACGCCTGTGGGCACAGCGCTTGGGAAGCTGAGGCAGGAGGGTCGCAGAGAGTTCAAGGTGGTTTGGGCTACACAGTGAGCTCAAGGCCAGCCTGAATTACAAAGCGAGACCCTGTCTCAAAGACAAAAAAGAAAGAAAATTGAAATGCATCTGAGGCCCGTGGGACTCAGCTGGCTCTTCCCGCAGGGATTAAGGACTTCATGTGTGAGCTGTGTGGGAAAACTTTCAGCGAGAGGAACACGATGGAGACGCACAAGCTCATCCACACAGGTAGGGCTGCCGGGCGCAACGCTGCAGACCTCCAAGCACTGGGCAGAGGGCAGTGGACGCAGCCCTGGGCCTCCGATGGCCCCAGGGTGGCAGCACGGTCCAGCAGGGTGGAGGCCGCTGGTCTCGCTCGTCCTGACCGTGCGGCTGTCCCTGATGGGCGGGGCAGGACGGAGCAGGCTCACGAGGGGGGACCACGCCAGGCAGCCCCGCAGTGACCCCGTCTCTGTCTGTCCCTCCGCTGCCCGGGCCCGCAGTGGGGAAGCAGTGGACGTGCTCCGTGTGCGATAAGAAGTATGTGACGGAGTACATGCTGCAGAAGCACGTGCAGCTCACGCATGACAAGGTGGAGGCGCAGAGCTGCCAGCTGTGCGGGACCAAGGTGTCCACGCGCGCCTCCATGAGCCGGCACATGCGGCGCAAGCACCCCGAGGTGAGCCGGCCGCGCGGGACCCCGGCACCCGAGCTCGGAGGCAGGACGTGCGGAGGGGCTGAGGCGGGAAGCTCACGAGTCCTCGCCCAGCCTGGGCAACGTGGCCACTTGGCAGCGATAAAACACTGAGGGGCGGGGGTGTCGCTCATGTGCAGGCCCTGGGTTCAATCGCCAGTGCTGCAAAAGCAAACCAAAACACAGGGACATCTGCTTCGGAAGAGGGGACAGGCGCAGGGCTGTCACTGCGAGGAGAGGCTTCCTGGGCGTGCAGGGGGTGAAGGCGCGCGCACACAACAGTGTCTGACTCGCCGCAGTGGTGCAGGACTTCTGCGGGTCAGGAGGGCAGGCAGAGCTGACCGACCCGAAAGCTGCTGTTGATTTTACTGTGTCCCGTGCACTTGTACTGCGAGAGTCACAGAGACAGCCGTCCAGGGAGGCCGGCAGGAGCCCTGTCCGTGGAGCGGAGCTCCCCCAGCCCCTGGGGCTCCTAGCTTGGATGTAATGTATCCAAGGCGGGTCGAGTGTAAGTCCCCAGCAGCAGGCACTGCTGTCTTTCATGAGCCCCGCCCCAGGCCGCGGTACCTAGCTTTCCATTTCACTTCTGTTAGCCAAGCAAAAATTAGTTGGTGTGGTGGTGCACACTGGTGATCCCAGCAGTTGGGAGGCTGAGGCAGGAGGAGCTCTGAGCGCAGTGCCATCTTGGGCTGCATAGTGAGTAGCTGCTGGGGTGAGGAGCCCTCGAGGACAGATCTTTGCGGTTCCCTGGCCTCGCCTGCTCATCCTGTGGCGGGTGCCCTCCCGGACCCCTCTCCTTGAGCCTATGCCTTCGGTAGATGAAGTTGTGGCCGTAACGTGTGAATGAGGGAAGGGAAGGTTGGATGGTTCTCGGGCAGGACCTGAGCCAGGGGCAGGCAGTGGGTCACAGTTCCGTGGTGCTGAGCTGGGGAGGGAGGGCAGGGGCACAGCGTGAGCAGCCGTGGGCCTGGCGCAGCTGCATGGGTGAGGTGGTTGCTGCAGCACAAGGTGCCGTGCTGGTCTCTGGCCACCCAGCCTGCATCACCTGTCCAGGCCCCAGGACCTGGGCCAGCAGAGAGGGACGTCACCGCGGAGGGCCATGGGAAGACTTGAAGCCGGGGTGTGGGGAGGGGCAGGGCACTTGGGCAGCTCCCCCTCGGCCCTGAGGGGAGGGTCACCTGCAGCGTGCGTAGCTCTGTGGGAGTGACAGTGCCGGTGCACGTCCCTGTCCTCGTGGCAGGGGCCGCCCGGGGTCCCCGTCCTCTCACTGCCCCACCACTCCGATAGGTGCTCGCTGTGAGGATCGATGACCTGGACCACCTCCCCGAGACGACCACCATCGACGCCTCCTCCATTGGCATCGTCCAGGTGAGCGCAGCAGGCAGGGAGCTCCTAGGCAAACGGGCCAGTGGTCTGTGCTCCGCCCACCCTGTGCCGTCTGAGTGCCTTGGTTTGGGGTCCATCTCCTCCCCAGGCCTTGAGAACAGGCCAGAGCGTCTGTCCGGTGCCCTGGGCTCGAGCTTGAGTGCTGGTGTATTTCACGGGTGGTTTCCACAAAAGCTTAGCGGAATCGCGTGGTCCTCAGCCGAGGAAGTTTAGTCGTATCAGGTGGACTTAGGTCATAAAGCAGTGGATAGCCGATGCCGTTGTAATGTCTGGGTTTTCATCAGCCCACGCTTGCGGTGCATAATGATCAGGCCCCTCGCGGGGAGCGGTGCACTCACATCACACGTCTTCACTTCCCCGCCCTCTCCTCCTCCCTTCCTGCCGCCCGGTCCCCTTCCCCGCTGCAGAGCATCTTTTTTTATTACAAAGCGCACACGCGTGCCCTCAGGATCGGGGGTCAGTCTGCACCTGTGTGCCAAGAAGGGTGCCCACGACAGCAGCTGCCAGGGTGGCTGGGTCGAGGGTCAGGCCTGCAGACACCCTGGCCCAGCCGCAAACCCCCGAGCCGTTTCTTAGTGGAGGGGAGGGCACCCCCACGACTGCTCCCTGGCCAGCATGCACGCCGCCAGGGGACAAGCCGTGAAGGTGGCTCGGGGAGCAGGAGACAGTGGGTTCCGGGCAGAGGTCTCGATGTCACCCGACCCGGCCTCCATGCGGCCCCGCAAGCCAGCCTCGTGCGGGCGTGTTTTGGAGGACTGGCCGTGTGCGCCTTGCGCTGGATAGTTGGACAGAAGCGGAGGTGGCAGCACTCCGTGGGCCCCCTTTTCTGTCCCGGAGATAGCTCTACAGTTTATGTGGTCCAACGCATTGACGTCCGATATTGTTTTCTAAATAAATTAGTTTCCGCCTTGGGGAAAGAACGCCTGTACTTGAAAGCAGCTTCCTTGGTCTGAGCGCCCCAGGGCAGAAACATTGCCCTTTTCCCAGTGGCTTTAAAAAATGAGTTTGTATCCCAAAGCTCTGGGAGGCTGAGGCAGAAAGAATCACAGGTTCAAGCCCAGCCTGAGCAATGAGTGACGTAGTGAGACCCTGTCTCAAAATTTTGAAAGGGTTAGGGTTGAAGCTCAGTGTGGAGGCCTCGATTCAGTCACCAGTATCACCAAAAAATAAAAATGCACAAAAGCAAACTGGTTTTTAAGGATATTTACGTTCCAGCACAAATTGCAGTCGCCGCCACCACACACAGCTGGGTGAGCGGCCCCTGGCTGAAACCAGCCTCCCCGCAGCCCGAGCTGAACCTGGAGCAGGAGGAGCTGGCGGAGGGGAAGCACGCGAAAGCTGCCAAGCGCAGCCACAAGCGGAAGCAGAAGCCTGAGGAGGACGCCGGTGCGCCAGGGCCGGAGGATGCCACCTTCAGCGAGTACCCGGAGAAGGAGCCCGAGTTCACGGGCAGCGTGGGTGACGAGACCAGCTCGGCCGTGCAGAGCATCCAGCAGGTCCGTGCAGGGCAAGTGCTCAGCGGGGGGAGAGCAGGTGCACGGCAGGTGTGAGTCCTCTCGTGCGGGACGCTGCCCCTCAGCACACCAGGTGGGTGCGGGCGCTCTGCATGTCGGAAATCAGCACTCGTGTTCCAATTTTCACATAAGCCTTGCCACTTGCCAACTGAGAAATCCCACATGCCATTGTAAGAGCAGCGTGCTACCCTGGCACGTGAAGGGACGACATCTCCCCAGCTGGGAACTGGGGTTTGCAGCTTGGGACTTGGCAGGTGGGTTCCTGCGATGCACGTCCCTTCACTACAGAGGGGCAGCCCCGGCATTTCTGGCCCCCCAGGGCAGCCAGAGCCATCCGTCCGAGGGCCCGCAGACAGGGTGCCAGGCCAGGCCCGGATGCACTGTCCAAGCCTGCTTGCGTTAGCAGAACCCTGCTTCGTGCTCACGCTGTCACTTCCGGTCCTGGGCCTGAGCTTTACCCCAGACCGTCCAGCGCTGTGCACCTCCCGCCCTTGCAGATGGCGATGTCGCCCGCAGACGTGCTTGCGCACCTGCCCTGTGTCGCCCAGCACCCGCTGGAGTGCTGCTTCTGTGCCGGGATTGGGAGGGCAGCCACGCTTAGCCGTGGCGTTGGGGTGTTCCTCCCCGCCGCCCCCCGGGCGTAGAGCAAGGTGCAGAGCAGTCTGCCTCCCGTCCTCTTCTGCCTGGCTTTCTTGTCGTTCTGGCCAGTGGGACGCGTGTGATTCTCCACTGGGTGCCGTTGCTCTGGGAGCCTCCCTCCTGCCTTGCCAGTCTTCCCCACGGGATCGTTCTCCAGGACAAAGCTGACCCGGTGTCCTCTGCCCTGAGGGCCGCTTGCGTCTGGTGCTTTGTGCGGGTGCACGCAACGCGGTCGCTTTAGCAGAGCCAACTCACAGCCTCGCTGTGTCTCTTCCAGGTGGTGGTGACCCTGGGGGACCCCAGTGTGACCACCCCGTCCAGCTCCGTGGGCCTGACCAACATCACCATGACGCCTATCACCACCGCGGCCGGGACTCAGTTTACCAACCTGCAGCCGGTGGCCGTGGGGCATCTCACCACCCCTGAACGCCAGCTCCAGCTGGACAACTCCATCCTGACCGTGACCTTTGACACCGTCAGCGGCTCCGCCATGTTGCACAACCGGCCCAGTGAGGTCCAGATCCACCCCCAGCCCGAGGCCTCGAACCCGCAGTCCGTGGCCCATTTCATCAACCTGACCACACTGGTTAACTCCATCACGCCCCTGGGGAACCAGCTCAGTGAGCAGCACCCACTCACGTGGCGGGCTGTGCCCCAGACGGACGTGCTGCCCCCGCCGCAGCCTCCCGCTGCCCCGCAGCAGGCCGCGCCCCCGCAGGCGCAGGCAGAGCAGCCGCAGATGTACAGCTACTGAGCCGCTGCGCCGGGCCCGAGGGTCTGGGGGCTCGGGCTCGTTTGCTGGATACCAAAACACTATCGTAGGGAGGGCCAGCCAGCTTTGCAGAGCCGCCTCCACGCCCAGCTCGGTGCACCGGCCCTGGCAGGCAGGAGTGCAGAGCTCCATCCCTGGTTCGCCTTCTCCAGGAGGCACAGTGGCCCCAGGACCGTGTGCCTGACGCAGAGCTTGGGCGGGACAGGGGAGAGAAGCAGGACCCTGTCTTGCTCTGTTTTCCTTAGAGCTCAGTTACTGTGTAAACCCACACGGTGTCCGGGGGCGGCACCACAGCGGCAGTTCTCGTCGGGGGTTTTCAGCTGAAGGGACTTCTGTCCTCTTCCCCCAGCATGAGCTGGGTCTGGGTTGTGGAACACCTGCAGGCCTGGGCCAGTGGTGAGACGCAGTGTGACAGCGCATGACCGGGCCCCGCAGGCTCCGCCTGGGCCAGGGCCCCCACGAGGCCACCAGCTCGGGTGAGAAAGGCATCTGGGGTATTTGGCAGCTGGTTTTCAGTAGCTTTTTCCTTCTCCTTTTTACTGTATTCAACATGTGCTCAAGCCCCCGTGTGGCCAGTGTGTTTTTAACTATTTGAACGTGATCAAGTCATTTGCACTGTTAGTTCAGGGCCCTGGTTGGGATCAGCGTGGTTGCCAGCTGGGCCCAGGGTGAGGATGAGCCCGGGGCTCCCCGATGCTGCGGAGCCGTCTCAGGTTCTCTCCTGCCCAGGTGTATTTATTGTGGCTGGAGCCCGGCTGCAGCCCCAAACTGAAGGGTGGACGAATCCGTGTTCTCTTTCCGTGTGAGCCCTGGTTCCAAGGGGGGATGTGTTCGAAGACCAGTTTCCTCTAAGAGTGTTGATGAGTCCGGCTCTTGCTGGGGGGAAGCAAAGCTGTTTCAGAAATGCACAGAGCGCATTTTCCTGCCGGTCTGGAAGCAGGTGAGGTCAGCTCAGCAGCAGAAACATTAACTGCCTCGTGACGGGAGGGTGCCGTGGGGAAACGTGCCACCTCGCGTGTGTGTCATGCGATCGTAGCCAGCAGCACTGGACACCGAGCAGAAGGAAGTGTGGTTGGATTGTTCTGGTCCATCTTTCACACTGTCCAAAACATAAGGAGACGTGCTTTATTTGTCCTTGGTCACTGCTTGTCCCCACTCTTCTGTTCTTCTTCTGTTCTTTTGGGGCCCAGAAGAAGATACACAGTGAATAGGTGGCAGAACCAGGCATAGTGGTGCATACCTGCGATCCCAGCACTGGGGAGGCTGAAGCAGGAGGATCACTGTGAGTCCAAGGCCAGCCTGGGCTCCGTAGTGAGACTGGCTCAGAATAAAATGAGCAGGGAGCCAGCTGGTAGTGCCGAGAGAAGGGGTCCGTGTGATCCTTAACTTCATTCCACACAGCAAGCTGTGGAGGGCAGGGCTGGAACGTGTACGGTGCGTGCTTTCTGGAGCACGGGGGTCTTCCCTCCCACAGGGGGTCGGGACTGCAGAGCCCAGGACGGGGACCCCCTCCGTGTCTGCACTGCCATCTCCTGTCCTCATGGAACTCACGGCGGTGGGGGGGGGGCAACTATTGGACTTTTTAATTTATAATTATTTTTATGTTATTTATGACTGTAACTGGCTGCTTTCTACATCCTAGTTTCACAAGCCAGCTCCGGCTAGGGGTGGTTTTTTTTCTAAAATGTTGTTTGTACTTTCCAGGCCGGAGTAGTCCAGGCAGCCGACCCTGGAATCGGCAGGCGACCCCAGGCTCCAGGGTATTTTTGTACAATCAGCAAAGGTTTTTTTTTGCATCTGCAGAAGTTTCAGGGCGAATGACTTAGAAAAGAAGCCAGACAGGCGTGTGGGGCTCTGGTGAAACCTGGCTGGCCTGTATCCTTTTTCCTCTTCACTCTGAAACAGAGGCCTTCTGGGGCACAGTTTTATTTTTTTTAAAGACGTCGTTTTTGTGCCTAGAGCAAGGCTGAGTCTGATGTTTTCAAAGACCCTAATTTAGGTTGTGAGGCCCATGCCCTGCCGCCACCCGCTTACACACGCGGGTGTGGCCCTCCGGGAGCCGAGCTCTCCAAGGTTCCGTGGACATGGGGATCTTGCCGGGGCTCCCGTCTGGGGCAGGCGGGGTTGTCTTGCAGCAGGTGCTATGGTTGCATGTAAGAAACTGTACAGCAAAGAACAAGGTACTCCCTGGCCCGCAGTCACCGTGGTACGCGGCTCTACACACGGTCCACTGTGCAGTGGTGGACGGTGTGGCTCTCCTGATGGAAGAGGCGCCTGGACAGAGGATGGCCAGGCCACTCTTCCACCCCACTCGATCCAAGATGTAAGGATGGATTCTGAAAGGAGGAATTAGTTTGAGCTGTGTGGCCGGGGCATGCCATGATGCTGCCTTGGTTATTATACATTGATAAACCGTGAGGTTCCCGCCCAGCCCGGGGACTGGTGGGGCCGTGGTCACGTGTGTGACTGCGGCTTCTGCAGGCGACGCGGGGACAGCTGCAGGCCGCGTCACTCGCGGCCCCTGGGCTGGCTCTGGCGGGTGAAGTGTTGTCTCAGGGAATGCTGCGTGCCAGGCACCCTCCTGTGAGGGTGTGACCCCGCCCTGGGCACTGCCGGGGAGGCAGGCCTCGTGCACCTTCTGTGTCTCCCCATCTGTGCCTGGGGGCTGAGGCGCCTGGCTTCTGGCTGTGGGCAGTGTCTGTGATTTCCTGTGGGATCTTGAACAGCGTTCAAGCTGTACTTCCTGTCACATTGGTTTGTGTAACGGTAATAAAAGGTGCTGTGACCTGTGTTTTTCAATGCTGGTCTACACTCAGCCAGCCCCGAGGGGTGTTGGTGCGTTTGGTGCACGAGTCGTGATGGATGAAATGGGTAAAGGTTTACATTTTAAAGTCTTACTACGGTGGAAGACGCATTGCCGAGAATCCTCTCAGAACCCCCTGCTCAGTACACACACTCTTCCCCCCGTCCTGGCCACGTCCTGCAGCCGCTCTGGAGTCCTCTTTCCTGAGTGTCTTTAGCCGCGCTGTCCTGGCCGCCTCAATGTCCTGGACGGCTTCTCAATGTTTCCCTTTCCGGGTCATGTTGACTTTGGGGAGGAGCCGGAAGTTACATGGGGCCATAGTGGGTAAACAGGTGGGTGAGAACAGACCCGTGTTTATATTGGAGGGAAATTGTCACGAGCATTTGATTAACAAGGGGTGATCAAAAACATAGTGAATGTTTAAATTTAAATATTTTTTTTAGATTTTTTTAAATTTAAATTTTTATTGCCGTAAAAGACACATCGCCCTCACAAATCGCCTGCAGAGCCCGTTGCTGTGAGCACAGACTCTGTCCTCTTGGCAGTGAGCCTTTTCCTGCAGTAAGTCTTCCAGTTGAAGCGTGCCCTGTACTTTCCCTCACCCCAGGACCCAAGAATGCTTCTAGTTCCTGCTGTCTGAGGCATCTCCAGGCCCACCCCGCCCAGTCCTGCTCTTAAGAAAGGTCCAGATCAGTTGAAAGGCTCCCTGAGACACTGAGGCGTGGAGCTTTCCTGGGGACCATGCGGAGGGCGAACAAGCAAGTCAGTTGTGGCCTTTTCTGTGTCGCTTCAATCTGTCGAGGACCGGGCACAGGAAGAGGAGGGTGGAGGGGAGCCCTGTGGGCCCGAGGTCTGCAGTGGTCACTGCTTGATCAAGCTGGCTCGGGTTTCTTGGGGGTCAGGGGTCCTTTTCAAGTTAGGAAACGCCTGTCTGCCCCGTCTTTGAGGACCTGCATGAGCCATAGCTATTCCAGGTGGCACTGCACCCCCTAAGTCCTCCTTGCTGTCGCCTGGTGCTGGCCTGGGGAACACAAATGGGCCCCCAGTGACCCACTCCGCCCCAGGCACAGGCAGTGAGGACGCATGACGCGAGTCGTGTCTCCAGCTGGCCCCGCACGTGGGAGCAGCCAGGTCCTGAGGTACGCGGAGCCTGCCGGGGACTCTGCTCTCTGGTGTCGCCATGAGGTCCACCAGTGCAGCCTGGACAGGCCAGCTGGGCACCCTTCCACCCAAGCCTGTGCCCCCCACCAGGGTCCATGACTCCCCTGGACCCCAAGCTCCCTGAAAGCCAGTACTGGTGTCCCCGGTGTCCTGGAAACGTGGCCCTCCACTCTGGCCCCCAGAGCCACAACCCGCTCTTCTTGCCCCCATGTGAGAGACCCACAGGGAGGCCCCTTTCTGCCATGGAGACCCCTGTGTCCCTAGAGAGGGAGACGGACCCCAGGGTCCCCCCCCACCCCCGGCTGCCCGTCTCAGGCGGTGTCGGCGTCCTTGGTGCTGGCGGCCCCCTTCACACGCTGCCCCGCTCACTGCTTGTCTCTGAGTTTTCGCCAGGTGTCTGAGGGCAGCGCTGTGGAGCAGGGAAGGGGTCTCAGAGTCCAGCCGCCCCTGGAGGCCCCTTCCCTCAGCGCCCACACTTCCTGCTGTCCCGGAGGCTCCGGGATGAGCGCACCCCGGCCGCGGGGCCACTGTCGCGTCAGGGTCGCTGTCACCGTCACAGTCACGGTCTGCGTCTTCCACCTCCTGCTGCCCAAACCGAACTTCCCCGGGCCTAACTGGGCAGCAGCCTGGCCCACCAGGTGCCCGGTCCGCCCAGGGCTCCAGAGCTGGGGTCCTGCCCGCCCGCGCCTGCACCAAAGTGCGCGGCTTGCGAAGTGCTTTGCCGCCCTCCCGCTCCCGAGCTCAAGGCTCAGCCCGCAGGGTCCGACACCTGTCCCTCCCTCACAGCGTGGCCCGTCCCCCGCTCACAAGAGCGGCCACGGAGGTCCCGCGGGGAGCGGGAGCGGGCGTTTCCCGGGCTACCCCGGCGCCCGGCCGCTGCCTGTCTGACGGCGGCCTGCGCCTGCCCTCTGTCTCCGCGGCCTCCCGCTCCTCCCGAGCTCCGGGAGGCAGCACCCCGGGCTGGTTCAGCCTCGCCCCCGAGCCCGCCCGGCACAGCACCCCCCAACGCGGCCTGCCTGGAGCTCAGTCCCTGTGCAGCACGGTGCTGCGTGCTGAGTCCGCCAGGTGATCACTGAGTGGGATCGTGGGGCACGTGCGATCGTGCCGTGCGATCTCAGCCGGGTGGAGCGCGTTGCCAGGTAGGACCTCCAGGGAAGGACAGTGGGCCGTGGGGATGGGAAACCTGCGAGGAAGCCCTGCCCTTGCCCAGCCTGCGGCTGGCGCCCCCAGCGGCAGGGCCGAGGGAGCCAGGGCAGGTGGACACAGGCCGAGTCCAGGAGAGGACGGAGCGGTGCAGAGGCGCGGCGACCAGCAGGGGGCGCGCTAGACTCCGCGGGCGCCCTGGCCGCGCATGCGCGGGAGGAAAGCCGGTTCCCACAGCCAGAGCAACTCAAAGCAGGCAGTCCGGGCAGGGCTGACGGGCGCGCGAGTTCCCGCGGTCCGCACGATCCCGCCCAACAACGCGTGAAAGCAAACCTGAGAGCGTGAGTCCCAAGGCTCCGGGCAGGGAGGAGGCAGAAAGGGGCGACAGCGCCCGTGCCTGGGCTGCACCTGTGCCCCGCACACGTGGCCGCTTTTAGGTGTCACGAAAAAGAACAGATACAACTAACAGAGATGGAGACACCATGGTGTAAATCACAAGAATGCACTTTCACTTTTTCTTTCATTTTATGTTTCTTGGTACTGGGGTTCGAACCCAGGGCCTTCACACCGAACTGCCTCTGCAGCCCATTTAATTCATGCTGAGGCAGCGTCTCACGAAGCTGCCCAGCAGGACTTGAACGTGTGATCCTCCTGCCTCAGCCTCCCAAATAGCTGGGAATATAGGCACATGCCACCATGCCCAGCTCACAAGAATACAATTTTTTTTAAAAAAATGGAAACATAAGACTGCATCCAAGAAGCTTTACTGACTCTAAGAAAAAAACCCAAGGGTTCTTGTAAGAAGACAAACACATCCAGTACCCACCACTGTGAAACCCAGGAGGGCGGTCAGTCAAAATTCCCAGAAAAGACTGAGCAAGTCTGACCCGAGGAGAGGAGCTAAACCACCCACCCAGAACCGACTCAGGAGAGATGGGCTGGTGGACAGACACTGAGAGAGGGATTATCTCTCTCCAGTGCTAAGTCCAGAGGAAAGGCTGAACAACATACAGGCGTGGCAGGCATATTTTTTAAAAGGCAAAGCTAATTGAACTAGAGATGAAAACTTCTGTGACGAGATGAAAAATACGCTGGGTCAAATTAACGGCAGTTCAGACATTGTAGAAGAAAAGATCAGTGAATTTAGAGCCATAAAAACTAACAAAAAGTGAACCACAGTCAGGTGTGGTGGGGCACACCTGTAATCCCAGCACTCCGGAGGCTGAGGCAGGAGGATCACTGTGAGTTTGAGGCCAGCCTGGGCTTCATGGTGAAACCTCATCTCAAAAAGCCAAAATAATAAAAAAATTGTTTGAAAAATGAAACACACACACAAAAGAGCTGGGGTGGGGCTGGCGGTGAGCCAAGCACTGATGAGTGAGGGACCACTCCAAAGGAAAGAGAGAGGAGGAAAACATACAAAGAGACAATGAGCAAAACCTTCCCATATTTGGTAAAAACTATACATGTTCAAAAAGCTCAGTGAGCCCCAAGCACCAGAATCATAAAGAAAACTTTGTCCAGGCGCATAATGATCAAGTTGTTTGAAGCCAGTGATAAGAAGATAACCTGAAGTCATCCTGTGGGAAGACTGATTATGTCCAGAGGAGCAAAGTCAGCCATGGCAGCCAGATCCCCATCATGGAAAACAACCCAGAAGACAGCCGGGCAGCACCCTTGAAGTGTGGGAAGCTCTCCAACCAGAACCCCACTTGCACAAGAAACGGCACCAAGAATCAACAAGTGACATACAATCCAGTTCAAACGCTGCTGCACGGCAAAGGAAACAAGGAGCAGAGCGAAGAGACCACCTGCAGCATGGCGAAAATGTGGCCAGCCGCTCCTCAGACAGAAGACTCACATCTAGAATGTGTGCGGAACTTAGAAACTCAGACCTCCAGAACAAAAGACCCCGTCAGAAAAATGGACAAGTGAAATGAATAGACGCTTCGCAGAGGCACAAACAACCCATAAATACATAAAAAGTGTCCAACATCTCGAACTTCGGAAAAATGCAAATTTAAACAACAAGACTCTGTCTTGCTTCAGAAAGAATGGCTACCATCAAGAAGTCAGATAACAACAAAGCCAGCAAGGCTGCAGGGGTAGGGGTGAGGGGAGCAGCCTTTCTACACTGCTGGTGGAAATGTGAACCAGTACAACCACTGTGGAGATCGGTATGGAAATTCCTCAAAAAACTAAAGCTAGAAATTCCATTGGAGCCAGCTGTCCCCCTCCTAGGTATCTTCCCAAAAGAGTTAAAGACATCACATTACAGTGATTCATGCACACCCATATTTATAGTAGCATAGCTCATAATAGCTCAATCTTGGAAGTGACCCACATGTCCGCTGACAGATGAATGGATAAAGAAAGTGTGGTATTTACACACCATGGAGAACTATTCTGCCATAAAGAAGGATAAACTTGAGTCATTTGTAGGAAAACAGATGCACCTTGAGACTATGTTAAGTGAAATAAATCAACACACCGTATTAAAATCCACATAGCTTTTCTCGTATGAGAAACCCAAAGTCTAAATAAAGAGCAAAATAACAGACAGCTAACAGGGAGTAGGGAGACAGATCCTTCTCAGACGCGAAAGCGACCAGAGGAGCGGATGGAAAGGGCAAGGGAGCTGCAGCCACCAACTCCGCATGAGGAAGGCAGACGTTCTGTGCCACACGC